TGGCCCCTTTATCCCTCTTGAGGTTCACCACTAATTTCTGAGTCTCCCTGGCTTTCCAGAAGCGATTCCTAGAAAGGAAAAGATGATGTCTTAATTTTTTCGCGATGACATCTGATATAACCAACATGTCCTCCAAAGTGGCAGGACAAAGGAATTTTTTACTCAGGAAACTTAGGTCCAAGTTGGCTGCAGCCATTTGTTATTTGCCATTGAACGCACTAGGTGGCATGACTGCTTTGGTGGCTCAGAAAGCATAATGTTTCTCTTTGCCAGGAGGGAAAAAAAACAAAAAACAAAAAACAACAACAACAAAAAAACCACAGATGTGAGTAGTACTACATATACTGAGTCCTATGAATTTTTCCAGGAAACCATTAAACCTCTGAGTGGTCTTGGGGGCCCATGACAGCTTCTCTTTGTTTGTCTGGATTCTATTCCTCTTCTTCCATGGTTACCACAGAGGGAGTGACCACTCCTGAGGCCTAGGGAAGCTGCCTGCACAGGCTTTGGAGATAGGACCTCAGGTCAAAACCTGCCTATGGTGTGGTGCACCCCCTGGTGAATGGCACCTCTTGGCAGGAACTCCTTAACTTCTCAGATGGTACTTAATTTTGAATCTTGACTCTCTTACCTTGGAGCAGCCTGTTTATCTGGAAAATGAGTTGAACTGGGTTTAATTTAAAGGAATGACAATGTAAAATAGTGAGCACAGTGGTATACAGTAATCATGCAGCAGGTAGGAAGTTTTATTATTGTTCTGGTTATTGGTCATCTCCTCAGAGAGGAAGCATCTGACAACAGTCAAATCTGAATTATCTCTCCCAGCGCTGTGAAAGTACAGAGTTGGAATTTCATTAAAAGGATAATATTTTCTCTGTTGTGAAAGGCTTGATTTTTGTCATCAAAATAAAAATAGTGGGGCTGGGATTGTGGCTCAGAGGTAGAGTGCTCGCCTAGCACACATAGGGTCCTGGGTTCAATCCTCAGCACCACATAAAAATAAATGAATGGAATAAAGGTATTGTGTCCAATTACAACTAAAAAAATAAATATTAAAAAATAAAAATAGTAAGATAGGACTGGGGGTGTAGTTCACTAGTGGGTCACTTGCCTAGAATGTGCAAGGTATTTGGTTTAATCCCCAGCACACATGTGAGTGTGCATGTGTGCATGCATACACACACAAATTAGAAGTAATTATAATTTACAAAGCACATTTGAGTGCTATGTGTCATGTACTAAGGTAGTAGTTCCCATAGATAATTAACTTTATTTAATCTTCACAATAACCTGTGTGATAGGTACTAATATTATCACTGCTAGAATTTGGATCTGAAATATCCCTTAAAGGACCATGGGTTAAGGGCTTGGTCCCTAAGCTGTAGTGCTTTTGGGAGGTGGTGGAAGATTTAAGATGTGGGGTCTACTTATA